AGACTGGTCCAGGTCATGTAGCAATGTATGGACTTTCAGTGCGCGGCATATTGTTGGAAGTGGGTCAATGGTTTAATGTTGTGTAACCCCATTATGAGCAAGATTCCAGCTATACTACGGAGATCGGTAAAGAATCGAACCTAGGTCAGTGAGCTACGTTTTACGACGCAATTGCAATATATTCCAGCAATATCACGGCGAGGTACTGCAGAAATGGGATTCACACGTTGTACCCATGTGTGGCGTGACGAGCGAACGCTTTTTAAAACCACTATATAAGGCTACCCCACAGCCCTGATCGAATCTGAACCAGGCACACAAGAGCCTGAATGTATACATGACATAACGATTAACGTCATCTGTGTATGACGTCACGCAGTCCTATTTGTTCAACGTCAGGTCCAATTTGTTCGTCTCTTACAAGGAAAAGAGACTAGTTCAAGAATCTAACCCAGATCACAGGGATTTGGATTGGACAAGTTCAATTAAATACATTGTTACTGAAAGTGTTTAAATTAGATTATTTTCATACTATCAGGGTATGATAGAAATTTTGAAAGTTGAGCTTTTTTAGATCAGTAGTACATAACACCGTAAAACTGTCATCATCTTTCACTGGACAAGACATACTGCGTATGGGTCAACCAATGGAGACATAACAAAGTCTGTTCCTTTTCTCTGTCATTTCCTGGTGAGGTTCAGTCAACGTGGTCGGTGACGTATAAGGTTGACCCACATGTCTCATGCCAACTCCTTGAAATGTCATTACTATGCAGAGTAGTTTAGTTTTTCGCTGCTCTTAGCAATACTCCAGCAATACGGCGGCGGACACCAGAAATTGGCTTCACACATTATACTCATGTGGGGAATCGAACCCGGGCGAACACTTTAATAGCAACCTCTTCGGTATTCAGGGGTCAAGCTGACATTCTTGACACTTGTCATCGAATCCCGACTGCGTAGATATAGGCTCGCCATGTCAATAATTGAACTGTCTGGACCAGACTCGATTATGTACAGACTGCCGCCATACACCTGGAATATTGGTGAGAGCTACAGAGGGTCATTGAGTTATGTACTCGCTTGTGTTCATCTCAATTGGGTATCCTAATTTTCCTTTGAGTAACCAAATAAATTGTACTCACCTCACACAAACTCAATTGGGTATTTTGCCATTTTTCATTAATTAAAAAATATAATAAAGTTTAAATGTTAGTGTTTGTTATTAATATTTCATCTGTAATATGATAAACAAAAAGAAAGACTGCAAGTTGTCACGTTCATGTCCTGAAATAGAACCTCAGTGTCAATATTCCTCAGTTATTTTATCTATCCACCGGTACGCAAGCTAAGATTTGACATTTTTGTATGTACGCATGTAAGATCACATTAATAGAGTATTTACATAAATTCAAGCATACTTGTCCGCAATAGACTTAATAGGAATTGAGTTTTCACATAAATATTTGCGTAATTTACGCAGATACGCAGCTTATCTGTACCTCTGAACACCATACAAACAACAAACAAACCTAGTCCATGAAGTGCTGATACAGCTCAACGTCACAACGTCTACAGCACTGAGCAGATGGAGTGAACGTAAACGCCGCTGGGAGTATAAGCCTGATCGTATCAAGGTATTATCTGTAGAATAAGCCGTTCTGTAATCCGACGCCTCGCAGGTTGCTCTGTTTGATTAAGCGATATGTTTTGATGCTTCTTGAGTGTCAAGGCAACCTATTTGTCTTGGAATTAAAGTTCATCTGTCCACTTACAGGACAGATCTCTATAGTAAATACAACATTGGATACCATCAGCCCTCTTATCAATGTACGTTCCAGTGCTAAGTATGTATGTTAAATTCTTGTCTGAAGACGTTAACCGAAAGTTATTAAATTTTAGATCTATCTGTCAATGAAGATTTATCCATCGGGTATTAAACGGCGTGTTGTTTCAGCGTCAAAGGCTCAGCATATAGTAAAAGTGGCTTGTATTTTACGCTGCACTGAAGTGAGTGAGTGAGTTTAGTTTTACGCCGCAATATTCCAGCCATATGGCGGCGGTCTGTCAATAATAACAAGATCCTCTGATCGTTAGACATCTTAATGATTTGCTGTTAATCAACAAATGATGCACACATCGATATCGATTTGTTTCTACGTTCTCGCCATTTGCAGCACCGCAATGCCCTTGTACATGACATATAATTCATATAGCACTTGACATTTCAACATATACAGATGAAGTATGGTAAAACACCACCCCTTCCCGTCTTCTTACATCCCCAAACTCCAAGTATAATGCTTTGGAGTGAGTGAATTTAGTTTTACGCCGCACTATGGAGGCGGTCTGTAATTAATCGAGTCTGGACCAGACAATCCAGTGATCAACAGCATGAGCATCGATCTACGCAATTGGGAACCGATGACATGAGTCAACCGAGTCAGCGAGCCTGACCACCCGATCCCGTTAGTCGGTCCCGTTTACGACAAGCATGGGTTGCTGAAGATCAATACTAACCCGGATCTTCACAGGTCCGCACTGGACAGTGGTTTCAGTAGGTCTACTTCTTTGGAAATGTGAAATTTAGTACAGGTCCAGTATGGTTTTAGGTCATTGATGGAGACATCAATTGCTCTTGTTTCATTACATGATTCGGGTTAGAATTGGCCTCAAGCAACCCTGGTTTGTAGTAAGAGGCCACCATGCTTGTTCCAAGAGATTACTGATGGACGGTCAGACTTCGTGACTAAGTTGTTTTTCAATTAGTTTGTAAAATTCTAAAATTTTGATCCCTTGGTCATAGTCTTTACTTGAATTTATGATTGTGATCTGGTAGCTTTATACTTCGGACAAATCTTATTGAATAAATGTAGCTGAAGAAAGATCAAGTTGACCAATTTATGTTGAGATATGCAAGGGAAACAGTATTTCTTTTGCATATCGGCCATTATCGGGGCATTAATTTCCACAGCGGCGTGAAAATTGAAGTAAGAAAGCTCGGAATAATTCAGGATGGGCGTGAGATGCAGAAACACAGAATTAAATTACGGAGAGCCTAACACTACAGGGGTGTTCCCTACAGCTCCACTACAACTTGTCCTGGGATTAATTGTATTCCGAGAGCTCAGCTGTAAATAATACAAGAGCAGGATACATCTCAGCTGGAGGTGTCCCATTGTAAGTACGACGATCACCACGGCAGAGGATAAACAAACACTTCATACTCAACATGATCAAGCTTATTACTTGAATACTCAGCAGCTTAAACTCTCATGGGTCTTTAACGTGTCATTCCGTGATAAGAGCGAGCGATGACGATTCGATCTATTTACATGATGAGGACCGATGGCGATCTGAGTTATCTCGGTAAATCAAACTCCTAACAGCGAAACGGCATCGCGACATGTACCACAACATTGAATTTAGATGCACATGGTGCAGAGAGCCTAGACATTAAAACATTTGTCGGGTGATATGGCGACAAAAGCTTTTCGCGTCTCAATCTCAGATAAGTTTCGCTTGAACATAGCGTACGTTATAGAAAAATGCGATTTAATGTGTCCCATGCGTTGCCATGGACACACTCATAACAGAAGGTACATCAAATCGTATTCTACGAGGCATCAATCAAACCTTGAGAATAACTACCTCCCACGGAATATACATCAGGGACACACTCGGAACACGTCGGCAGTTTACGGCGGAAATGAACGTCGACAATCTTATAGCTGGATGTTCATTAAAGGAAACTACCACATATCTGCAAGATCGAATGGCATTTGTAAATCTAATAGTCTAACTGACCCAAGGGAACGTCAAAGAAGATTGCCCTCCAAACCCCCTCCGATTCTTTCATACAACGCACGTTAAGTCCCTGCACTCGTATCCTCAATGCAAGATGGAGGTGGATATCCAAGGAAAGAGTTTCAATTGAGATTAGAAATATCACAAGATAAGAGAGCAATCACTTAATTTCCAGGATTTGCTATGTGATGATCTCAAATACAAGCGACAAAATTCTTTCGATTTTCAAAATTATACCATTCCGACTGTATCATGGCAAAAACGTATATATACGTCTTTGATCATGGGCATGCGTTTATGAATCACTGTCAAAATCATGGGGAGCAATGAATTGATTACTAATTTTATTGGATTATGGAAGAAACTGGAAATCTGACACTTCTGCTTGCTTCGATCACGATCTTGTTTTTTCGATAAACCCCGGGTTACATTTTGGATTGTCTGGTCCATTTTGGTCTGCCATCGTAATAATTGTGGGATTTTGCTGAACACGTCTTTACTCATTGGCTTCTAATCAGGCAAATGAAGAAGTATTTAGGAGTGTGGTTATCGATACCTATACAAGTGTAGTTTCTGTTATAATAATTGGACATCACGGCCATTGGTCTTCCAGGTCTTGGACGATCCTTTCCTTCACCGGTGGCCACGTGATTCCTTACAAGTCTGCTGACAACTGAGTGGTTAAAGTTCGCTATTGCTACAGATAATACCTGCCTCATGCACGCCCATGACTTACCAGTCTAAGTAAACTTAGGCTCAGTATTATTCGTTACACTGCTATACTGAGGCTAACAAAACCTAGAAGGTCGCGTCAGTTGACCTTTGAGCGACCTATGACTGTCCAATCAAATGCGAGACAGCCGAACGGATTTAACCAATCAGACAACGACTACTTGTTAGGGTTCGGCGGGACTTACAAAACGGTTTTTGGATTTTCTCTTCCCTGGTCGCTGACATCAGGGAGACTATATTGTAGAGTATCCCTGCTGACACTGATCTATCAACAAACGAAAATCCGCATGAAACACAGATATTTGACCTGCAGTATATACGCTTAGCGACTGTTTACTCATTGCGTGTATCACTCGGAAGCAATCGTGCGGAAAATAGCATTCGGAATCGTTCGAGTTTTTGAGTTAAAGGTTCAAACGGTATGTGCGAATGTTAACTTTGGCGATTTGGTAAGCTGTGTTCTGATTGGTCAGTCCGAAAGGTTAGCCGACGCGACCTTCTACTAGGTTTTGTTAGACTCAGTATAGCAGTGTAACGAATAATACTGAGCCTATAAGTTTACTGAGACTGTTGACTTACCATCATGTTTTCTGAATGCCTACTTCCTGCCATGTCAAGAAACGTTTAGTTTGAGTAGTGTTATAGTAGTTTACGACAACTACAGTTCGCATACTTTAAGTATGAAATTTATACCCCAACGTGCTTGGTGCCATCGCAGCACGTGAACATGTGACCAATGTCTTTTGAGATATTGTGAGGGAGCAAGTGACCGTCCCAGTGTGCGACGGTATGATCGCTTCTTTTTGCCGAAACTTTTTAAGATTGCCCTTGGTTTCAGATGGTGTTTGCTTAAAGCTCAAGGTCTCAATCCACAAAGCATTCGTAACGTTACGGTCTGTCGTAACTCTACAGTTTACGAATGTGGCACGGGACCCATGTGTATAGAAAAACCAAAAGAATAATGTTGTAGCCCTACGAACGACCCATGTGTATACAATAACAAAAAGAACCCTTTCAAACAGTTTTTTTTTAAAACTTCACAATCTATCAGCATTTAATCGTTATTAAACTTCCATTTGTCCTAGCCTTGGCACACTGGCGGTATACTGATCCCTGTGTTTATGTAGCTAGTCTGCCGAAGCACTCTGTCAGCAAACGTAAGTCGGTATTCTAATGTTCCAGCAAGGCAGCAACTACTGTCTGCGCTGAGGTGTTTATGTTGGGTCGTTTTCCAGATTCCTTGATTAGAACTGCTTCCAATTTGATTCCAGCTTCGAAGAACGAGCTGACTTTTTATGTTATTTAGTATCCTTAAGGGTGTGATTTGTGAAGTTTTTTATGGTCGAATCTTGAATGAAATCTTGAATTCTTATCAGCATTAAAGACCCAAGACGCCTGCTCTATAAATGCAGGCGATAACTATCGGAATAGGAGGAGATCTTCGCAATAGAACAGCTTCCTCAATGTGAATATTTTTACATGAGATATCAGAACATTTACTAGGTGATGTCCCTAGAGCTATCATTGTAAAGATAAAGACTAGAATTGTGATAAATGGAGAGCAGCGATTTGAGTTAACCGTGAAGAAATTGAAGGAGTGAGATAGTGAGTGAGTGGGTTGAGTTTAACGCCGCTTTTAGCAATATTGCAGCAATATTACGGCGGAGGACACCAGAAATGGGCTTCACACACTGGACCCATGTGGGGAATCGAACCAGGGTCTTTGGCTTGACGAGCGAACGCCTTAACCACTAGGCTACCCCACCGCCTCAGTGAGTTGGGTTTAACGCCGATTTGAACAACATTCCTGCTATATTACATATATTGTATAAAGTCAGCATAATGTGAGGGAAATGCCTTAAGTGATGCAGATGTTGTACCTCTTGGTGAAAAGCAACGAGCACAGTGATGGCGCTGTGAAAACCATAAAAGCCAGGGCGAAACTGGATTCGAACCCATGATCATAGGTTGACAAGTTGAAGGAGGTACAGGTGCTGGGATACCCTTGGCTTCTTAGAAAGGTTGAATAAATGAGGATCGGGTGACTGTAAAGCGACTCCCCAAACCTCTTAAATATTTTCGTTTTACAAAGACCTATCTCAGAACTCTTCCCAGAAAAGTAAGCAGGTGGGATTGTTCCAGTGGATTTGAATCGTGATACTGCCCAAATTAAGATGTAAACAGTCATCTCACTCTTATCTTAAGACTCGAGGGCTTTTAGGAAGCGTTTGTTGAACTGTCGTTAATATATACTCATGCCAATAATGGTTGTCAGCCCCTCCCACCCACCCAACCCCACGTTAAAAGAAATTGAAGGGGTGACAACCATTATTGGCATGAGTATATTATTATTATTCTATCCGGTAGTTTCCTTTATAAAGGTGATCTTTTAACATAGCATTAGGTCAAAAGATCCAACAGGCACAGACATACACACATTGCTTTCCTGCTACCACCACCACAACAATCATACTTGAATATCTCGGGGCTAAATTGTTTTTCGGCTGCCAAATAACCGACCCAGACAGGGAGTGTCACATACAGCCCTGATTTCACGTCTCGATATTTCCCTCAATCAATTGCCTTTTTTGACCCCGTAACACGAACTCATGCACGTTCGCGCAAACAAATCCTCACAATGAATGACATCGATTCGTCTACGCTTTTGGAAACTCCGTCAACGTCGACATCATTACACTATTCATCGTCCGCCAGGCGCGACCTATGATTCATCAAATTTCTTGCTCCTGAAAGAGAGATGCTGCAGTTTATATGTTGTGTAAGCGTTTACATTCTATATAGAGGAAAATGTACCGTTTTACAGCATAGGTAAAGGAAGGTGTAATGTGAGGTTTCATATAAGGTTCTGTACTGGTTTTGTGAAAGCTCAACGGATTAATAAGTGCCCTGTGCAATCCTGGTTATAAATGTTTTAAAAGTAAAAAAAATAAATGTAGTTTTAAATCACAAGATGAAAAAACACTTTAACTTTTTAGCGAGATGAGATGCCTTGAGAGTGGCCCAACAGATATTCCCGTTTTTCATCATAACCCAAATTAATACTGTACATCTTTCAAGATATATTCCTCCTGCGTCAAGCTTGGGGCGATAAATGTCGACATGAGGAGAGATGTGTTCGAATCCCGGTTAACCCTGAAAATATTTCCAGCTTTACCAGTTGCTTTTTTAAAAGGAGTTCACGCAATCCGCTCATCTCCCACAGATACAGGATGTTTTGGGCTTGAAGTTTCAAACAGCTAACCGTCACAAGTATCTATTGACGAACGTCTATAATTGTTTTTGAAGTTTTTAAATCACAACTCTAAAAGCATCCTGAACGTCACTGAAGAACAACTTCCTGGAATACAAATGTACTGAAGTGAGGACAAGGCGGTGTTAATTAAGAATTCACAGGAAGAACTACTGTTTGTTTGTCAATATATTATTGTTAGTTAAAGGTGTCAGTGACGTCTTTGTATCCTGTGTGAATAAAATCGATTTGGTTTGCGAGCTTCCAACATGACTAAAAGAACATGTTCTTTAGATAATACCGCGGGTTAGCCTAGTGGTTAAAGCGTTCGCTCGTCACGCCGAAAGCCCGGGTTCGATTCCCCACATTGGGTACAATATGTGAAGCCCATTTCTGGTGTCCCCCGCCGTGATATTGCTGGAATATTGATAAAAGAGGCGTAAAACGATACTCACTCACTCACATAATAGTGGAATAAGACCGGTTGTCCCATAGCTAATATGGAAGCCTATGTCACAAACGCACGAACACCTTTCCGCGGCCTTAACTCGAGATTAACTACCTGACACCAGATCTGGCATACATCTACATTCAGAATCCTGGTCTCAGGTGAGCGAGCCAACGATGCAAGACTCTTACACAAATGAACCTTGTGGGCGGATGCTGCCAACATATGACGTCATCACTGATATTCAGTGATCGAATCACACAATGATCACTGTTATTTTAGTAGTTCGATATCTGATTTCAGTAAAATTGGATTTTATTAGACGTCCATGTAAACCGGCTTCAGTATATATCACCATAGGGTGCGTGTCTCGCTTAGAAACAGCGTTAGAAAGACGTATAGGTGTATAGACCATACCCTTTTCCTTGTATATAGTAATAGGGTGGGGTCTATGCACCTATGTCTTTCTAACGTTGTTTCTAAGCGAGACACGCTATGTATATCTACAAATGCAGTCAGTTACCGTTGTGTCGACGGAACCTTCAATATTTCGAGTTCTCATCCGCAAAATGATGACTAAATAGGGAATGCCTAAATGATGAATATGAACCACGTTTTACTTCAGCGAGACAACCGTCAGCTCGACACATCAAATTCGAATAAAAGGTGTTTAACTGTATGTGGATATACTTATATTATACACCGGATAACCAGAATATACATAAATGTATAGAATAGTCTCAGGTGTCTCCCTTTGTCTCCAGAGAAATAATGAAATCACTTCATGTCGTTTAGTCAGCAAGGATAAATCAACCCAGTCTATAAGTAAACTTAGGCTCAGTAACGAATAATACTGAGCCTAAGTTTACTTAGACTGAAATCAACCAGACAGAAAATGTACTTGCAGATCATTTGCTGTTTATCAATAAATGATGCACACATCGATATCGATTTGTTTCTACGTTCTCGCCATTTGCAGCACCGCAATGCTTTTGTACATGACATATAATTCATATAGCACTTGGCAACTGATGTTTCAAAATATACAGATGAAGTGTGGTAAAACACCACCCCTTCCCGTCTTTTTACATCCCCAACTTCCGCGGCGGTCTGTAATTAATCGAGTCTGGACCAGACAATCAAGTGATCAACAGCATGAGCATCGATCTGCGCAATTGGAAACCGATGACATGTGTCAACCAAGTCAGCGAGCCTGACCACCCGATCCCGTTAGTCGCCGCTCACGACAAGTATGGGTTACTGAATATCAATATTCTAACCCGGACCTTCACGGGTTGTATGCTTTGGAAGTATCTACAAATTATTAGGATGGATTATAAGTGTCCCAAGATACCTCAAACACCTTCTGAATAGATGACTGCACTTTATGGATCTCCTAGTGATTCCTGGGGCGATGGGGTAGCCGAGTGGTTAAAGCGTTCGCTCGTCACGCAGAAGGCCCGGGTTCGATTCCCCACATTGTGTGAGACCCATTTCTGGTGTCCCCCGCCACGATATTGCTGGAATATTGCTAAAAGAGGCGTAAAACTAGACTCCCTCACTCACTCCAAATGAATCTTAGTACTGATTTCCTATCAATGCAAAGTATATGAAGAGGCAATGCAAGAGAAATAACAAGCCTTGACTATCCTCAGAAACAGATTCCATTTGACATTGAAGGTGAAAAAAGCTCTGAAAAGTACATAAACTGACCACTGACAAAAACAGTAATGATGGCCTACCCTACCTGTACCACCCGATATTTTATACATCATTTTGAAATAACGCTAAAAAGCTCTCTAAAGGGGTGCTTAATATATGTCCAGGGCCCCGTTCCTCACAGCGATCGTAGAGCTAAGGTGATCGTAACTCCCATACTTTAACATAGACTGTCGTAGCGCTACGATCGCTTTGAGGAACGGGGCCCTGGTGTATATATTGGAATGACGGCAAGCTTAACATCGGTCTCGCTCCAACCCTGGTTTTGAAACATGAAAGGAAGGAAACTCGCATCTGAAGCAGCTTGTTAATGGCTTGAAGCCTAAAAACAGGAAAGCGTTCTGTATCGCGAATATCGTTGTTCTTTACGTCATTGCTCTCAAGGCAATTTTACGTCAATAGTTCTCGTTTTCAAATATCGTTACGATCAATTTATGCCATTCCTTAAGAGGAAAATTGGAAGGAAATAACACGATGGCAGTGTTGCGATACTGAGCTTTCCATGCATTAATGATAAAGACGAAAGCTTAATTGTCATCGGACCATCAAACTACCACATTGCTATAAATATTGCAATGGTAGACGCTGTGTTATTAATAATTGAAATTGAAAGGGAACAAATTCTCCTAAAAGCTGCATTTATTGAAGATGAAATAGATTACTTGTATTACTTGAATCCACAGAATCGTTTCTAAGAAAAGAAGAATGGTGATCATTTGGTATGTTTTGTGGAATAAACTGAATATGAAGAAACAGATATCGCCCTCTAACGACAGTTCACAGCAACATTTGAAAATTTTCATTTTATTTCGATTGTAGTGTGGACTTGAATATCGCCGTCTAAGAATAGTTCAGAACAACATTTTAAGATATTCATTTTATTTTAATTGTAATGTGGACTTGAACTTTATCTGTATAATAATTCAAATGCGACCATCATGTTTGTAAAGAGCGTGTATTTGAAAATCATTTATAAGGCGATAATGTACTGAGGTGACACGTGGATGCGTGCGTGCGTCTGCCTGACAGTGTGCGCTGGTATTATAGTCGGTGTTGTAGTACCAGCCCGCAGAGATACGATGCCACATTTCGGCATCAAGTCGAATGCTCAGAGTAACGTCTACAAAAGTTAATCCACAAGTCTTGGAGAGGCAACGTGTCGTATTTCCCCAATCGGTTA